TCTTGTGTGCTTGTTAATTTGTAATAGTTTTCCTTTTATTCTCATATTGTTTCCAAGACCCACTTTGAAAAAATTAATGAAAGCTATAATACATGTAAAATTCAAAAAGAGATTACAAATAAATGCCATATTGTTTGTATCAGACAATTACAATCAAAAACACTATGACATAATTATCTACATGTCACAATTCTTTCAAAAGTTCATTCAACAAGAATAACATGTCAGCATCATTTATTAAAATAAAAGATACATGGACTATACAATGAAAAGGTGGTTTTACCTTTGAACTTTGAAAATAACATAGTTTTTGAGAGAGTGAGGCATTTTTTTAAGGCACAGAATTGGCTGTTGTACTCTATAAGTGACTGTTCATGTCATGAACAAATGGTCACCTATACATCCCACCCCACCCCACCCCACCCCTATCTGTGTTCATACTGATGGATGATATATGGGTCTGTTGTCACCTGCTTATTAAAATGTGCAATTTTGCTGCATGTAAATATATCCTGAACACCTGCATACAGTAGTGTTGTTCCGATTATCAATTATAATCGATAATCAGTTGGTTGAGTGAACCAGTAAGATAATCGATTGTGAAACTCTATAATTGATTATGTGCAAAGACAGACTATTTCTTTTCAGATGCATGCAAAATGCAAAGATTAGTAAAACTCTTTGGCAATTAGGAAGCTGTATATTACTTCCAATCTACAACCATTTAACTAAGTTATTTATTCCCTTCACTACTTGTATATATAAAACATACCATCCTCTGTAGGTGCAAACTTAATTAAGAACATATAGTCATGATTACATAATTTTGATGTTAAATTGTAGAGTAAATAAATTGTTTTAAAAATATGATTGTTTTAGTTTAAATGTAAAATCCTTTTCTAGTATTTGTAAATAATGGCAAACAAGAAAACCATGTCCTTTTCTTTAAATGATAAACACATCATATGTATAAATGAAAGGGTTTTGGAGGGGTTTGGGGATTGCAACAGTTTTTTAGTTACATACGGATCACTGTCATCACCTCTGTCTGCGTGAGCTCGAGTCATGACTTGGCTAACGTGTTCCTCCTCCACCATTAATACTGGCTGCCATGTATAGCCTATCTTTTGCGGAAAAATGGCGTTAAATCCTACAACAACAACAACAACAACATAAAACTGATCAGCCATAAGAAGCCACTTTTATTTAACAAAGTTGTAGAACAAAAATAACATATTAGAAGAAAATGTAATATTTTTTATCAGATTAAAGTATAAATGTTATTAAAAAGAATTATTTCAGTACATTTATTAACATTTTGAACTCTTGAGCAAAGATATAACTGCATAAGAAACAAAAAGTAAAATTTGCACCTAATAACTGATTATATTCGATTTTCAGTTGGTTGAGTGGAATCAATTATCGATTATAAAATTCTGACTGATTCCCATCGCTATCATACAGTATAAAAAAATGTAATGCACCAAATTCGTCTGCACAGTTTGAAGCCTGCTCTTTATCAGCATCTGTTCATGCAAAAAATTTTAATTTTAATTTTTTTAATTTTAAAAATTTGAAAATAATTTTTCATGAATCTATCATCAGTCACCAGCAGAAAAGCAAAATGTTTACTTTGAAGTCTGTCAGTATGCTTGTTAACAATGGCTAGTCAAGAAGGTGCTGAACCGTGATGTTAATTTTTAGCAGTGATGTTTTGAATGAAAAATTAATTTCTGATTGCAAAAACAAATTTTGAATTTATAATATGGACTAAGAAATGTGGTTTAGTATTTTAGTATTTTTATTTTCATGTATTAGCGTTTATTTTGTTTTCTTATTATCAGTAGTTCATGTAGTTAATTAACTTCTAACCATGAAAATTCTGTCAAAATTAAGAAGACATAGAATAATAGTAATCATTGCAGTTAGAAACTAATTTTATAGCCTTGGCAAAGATGTGGCTTTGCCATTTCAGGGTGATCTACAGGGATTATTGATAGATGACATGTGTTCAATTTTTACCAAATAACATACAAGATAAATAACATCAAAGTTAAACAATGCAGTGGAGGGGTGTAGGTGGAACGAGGAAATTCCACTTAGATAAAGCACAGACCAAACCTACATACAAAATTGGAGGTTATTTTTAAATGTAAATAAAAAAAATACAATCATATCTACCACACCGATAGCCATTTCACAACTAAATTTGCATAATGGTAGGTATTTCTGATGATGATATAATGGATGTACTGGAGAAATGAATGACTGTTGCAACATGGTGAAGATGGTGGGTTTTTTTCTTCCACATAAACAGCTAAAAACAGACCACACACTTTTAGCCCTTGTTTATTATTGCTTTTAATTGAATAGTCCAAAATTTGTTCATGTGACTTATCAGAGCTTAGTTTTGGCTTCCCAGAATTCAGTGCCATTGGACGGGTATTGGCATAATTTCAGTAATTTCACATTGTTTGCCTAATTGCTGAATTCTGTATAAATATGCATTTGGATTCATGTTCCTTGGCAACAAAATATTTTATTTGTATTCACATCAGCTTCTTAATGAGGGCTGTTCCATTAAAACAAACATGGAAAGCAGAGAAGGCACTTTTAAAGCTGGGTACTCACCCATATATGCAATTTAGAAATTTCTTATCATTTTAATATGAACTCTGTGAAATCATTGTACACTGTCATATATTTTTTTAAAAACTGCCTTACCTGTGTAGTATGTATGTTTAAATAGAACAGCTCTAAGGATAAATGGGTCAAAATGTAACAAATTAATAATTAAACTGATAAACAATATTGGCTTGGCATTTGGGTACAGTTTGCAATATTTGGCATTTGGATTGAAAGAATGTACTGTACCAAATATATAAATTCTGAAAATAATACATAGAAGTGAGTCTCCATTAAATGATGAAAATAATACATAGAAGTGAGTCTCCATTAAATGATTACACTTTTTTCATCACTTTCCTCTGTCCGTTTGGTATTATTTCATGTAACTCATCAGATTACCAAACCAGAAATCCTAAGTAAATCTATTAGGCAGTTGGTTGTGAAATGCGATATCACATGGTTAGTACTACCTGATTAACATTTTTCCCAGTTAAGGACCACACATTTAAATGTAACAAGATGTAATGGTTTTGATTCAAATATAAGCATGTAATGTACAAGGAGCATTTGAAATGTTCAGAATAATTGTGTTTAAACTTCTTTAATTTCTTTGAACCTGACTATAAATGTAATGTTGATAGAAATAGTTCTGTCAAATGATATGCAGCTGGATACCTACATATATATGCATGTAGCATTTTTAAATTATGGGGATGTAGAAATATAGGAGGAGAACAATTCTAGCAGTGTGAGAAAAGCACTGTGTAAAATCCAGGTGTACTAAGGGTACTCTTTTTGACTAATATCAAGGACAACCTGGATAAAGTTGACAGATGCAGTTCTATATCATATCCTATAATTTTGAAGAGGTTCATCAATCATAAGATGGTTGCATAGAAGATAACACTTGCTCAAAAAGACTGTTGTCTGGAGTTGATGAACAGGAAGTTGTTGCTGGAAAGGGGTAATTGATAAAGATGCTCCATACTTAGTGGAAGATATTTTTAGTATTACAAACATTAATTCTTAAGCTGTTTTAAATATATTGAAGAATCATTTGCACCTCAGAAAGGCTTGTGCAAGATGAATCTTGCATTTGTTAACAGCTTATTGTTATGTATATTTAATTTGTATTTGGTGTTGACTTGGTCCATGTTTATATACTATGTATATTTAATTTGTATTGTGTTATTGACCTTTGACATAATTGAGTTATTTCATAAACCACTTAGTACATAGTTAATACTTGTCTGTGATTTTAGATTATATTTTTAAGATCCTTGTTACTTGGAGGTAAATATATTTATCGATGTTGAGTTCAAGGTCCTGTTTTTTTTTTAGAAATGTTTAAGAATTTTCTAGAAGCAAGTTATTGATGAATTTGATGGGAAAATGACCCTCATCCTGTTTCAGTTATTGTGTCTTAGCTTTTTATTTAAATGTTTACTTAAGAATTACTCATTACATATCTTAACATCAGTCTTAGTAGTTGTATTTCAGTTAATGTTTGAGAGAATTTATTTATTTACATTATTCACTGGAATTACAGTGCTCAATATTATATTTGGACTAAATCACTATTTTAAGATTATTTTGAATTCATTCATGGACATTTTGGATTATATCATTGTGATACATCAAGACTGCTAGCACATCAGAGCTATTCAGCACATTCAAAATTTTAATTCAGAACAACACTTTCATTTGGAAAGTATACTTTTGGATTTGTGATAGAATTTTGACAAATATTTGGTATTTAATTCACAAGACTAAGTTATTTTTAAGTTTTCACTTTGTATTCTAGGAAATAAATTATTTGTTGAATTTTACAAAACATGCTGGTTTTCACACTTTTTTGTTACTTAGTAGAAGTCGCAAAACAGTCTTTGAGAATTATTTTAGCTGCTGCAACAATTATTTTGGCCTATTTTTTTGTCAAATGTTCCTGGAATATCAGCATGATCAGTTCATGGATGATCTGTTGTGTTGTCAATCTCCGTTGTTTCTGTAGTTTTGATTTGTATCATATGTCTTTCTATACATGATTTTCACCTTTACTGTCTTCATTTTTAGTCCTGGAAGTTTTTTTTTTTTTATTCCTGGAAAGCCTGTAAATGTCATGTAATTTCAGTTGATTGGAAGTGCACAAGTGTATGACCGCTAACTTATTGCTGCTTGGTACTAAGTTTTACTGAACCCTTGCATGGCATAAAAGTTGGATGAATTAATTTTATTTCTATTCTCAGCAATGTTCAAGATTTGATATATAGATGGATTTTGGTTAGAAAACTGCAAAGAAAACATTAAAAAAATGATCTTCACAATATTCATTAATAAAGTATCAATAATTTATTTTATTATCTCCCCAGGTAGACCACTCTGGTGGCCTAGTGGTTAGAGCTTCCACCTTAAATGTGGGAGGTTGTGGGTTCGAACCCCAGTAGAGTCATACCAAAGACTTATAAAAAATTATACCAATGGCTGCCTTGCTATGCACTCAGCATCGAGAGGTTAGTGTTAGAACTGGTTGGCCTGGTGTCAGGATAATGTGACTGGGTGGGACATCATGCTGCATGTCTGCAGCATGATGCCACAGTGCTAGACATCTCTATAAACTATCACACTGCAGCCATCGTAGTAATATGACTGAAAAATTGTTACAGCTACTTTAAAAATATATTAACACACACACAAATACACATCTCCCCAGGGCAAGTGCGGTGTACTTTATGAAAATAGAAAATACAATATTTCTGACAATATTGTAAAATTTTCTCATTTCAGAAATCCTGTTAAGTTCTGATCAACATCCAAACCACACTTGAAGTTTTCTAGCACCTGGAGATGGGAAATTTATAATTTGCAATTTACTATTGGACCTTTTTATAAATACATTTTGAAATTCTAGTATATTTTTCTTTGTAATTTTTCCACTTTTGACACATTATTGCTTGTATGTCTTGTCTTGCGCAGTGTTAGTCTGAGATATCCTTTTCATTGTTTTGACTGTAATCTTGTTAATCATGAAGTATTAAGACTAAACCATTTACAAAACTCTCAGGAGCTGATATATAAGGGTATCTTTATTGAATAGAAAGTTGCTGTCTGAAGTAAATTTTCATATAGACACTTCAAGGAGGTTATGGAACCAAATTGCTTGAAAATTAAAAATTAAAAATTAAAATTAAAAGTGTATTATGTGTGTCAAGGTATAACTCAAACAAGAAAAGTTTAAATATATACAGCAATATGACACAATATAATTGATTTTAGATATTATGAGATATTTCAGTGGAAACTATTACTAGAATATTCATATTCACTGCCTCTGTAACTTGATGTATTTTATTGCATTGTAAACAATTAAAGTGATTCACTTCAACAAGATAACATTCTTATATTTGTTTTTCTTTGCTAGCTATGCAAATTAATTGTCTCCACACCTTTTTTAATGGCCATCTTAATGATATAATAGTCTGTTTATTCTCTCTTTTTAATTATTATGTTCTAATAGTGTATGTCTGTCTGTTCTCTCTTGAGTTTTCAACCATCTACCATCACCAGACTTTGTTGGAGACTTGCACTTGAGGTAAAGGAAAAGGTTATTGATCTCATGGTCAAGTGGCTTTAAGCATAAAGTGTCGGCACGTGGCAGGGTAATGTCTTGATGTGGACATCAATGAAGACACCTGAGTCATTTTAGTCTATGTGTCTGATACAGACATGAGGATTGAACAGTTGTATTGAATACCAGATCGAATGTATAAGATTAAATGTGTATGTAATAATATTGGTTCTGCGTCAGAGACCTGAACCAGATTTTGTGGATGGCTTGTAAATTGGGTAAGGCAGAATCATATTGATTTGGGGGTGGAGTGCTAATAAGGCAAGGTCACTGTGATTGAAAGAAGAAAAACAAATGTTGCACAGTAACTGAAGTTCTATATCACAGATCTAGACTTAACTTTGTGGATGTCTTGCTCTTGGAGTGAAAGAAAAGAGCTTATTAATTTTGGGGTCAAAGATCAAGGCTTCTGTATGAAAAAAAGAAAATTTGGTTTTACACAGTAACATTTGTTCTTGCCACCCTTTGGGGATGGTTTCCACTTAGGGTAATAAAGAAACAGATTTGGAGACATAAAGTAATGGTAAATTTAATGGGAAAAACAAGTTATACATTTTAAGTTTAGCTCAGATCTCCATACCTTTGCTTAACCATGTTCTAGTAGTGTGTAAAGAAAAGACTATTAAAAAAAAAATAGGGTAGGTTTATGCTACACTGTTCTCCAATCTTTTGTTATCAAAAACGTTAAGGATATTGTGAATTTATCACATTATAGGTATAGTTTTCCTATAGTATGTGCAATTTCATATTTTTTATATTACCACGTTAAAATATCACTTCATTTAGGATTCTGATTGATCCTAATAAGCCCATAATATTATTGTGCAGTATTTTCTTTATTGATTGGTTCTGATTGTAAGAAAACTTTTTTTAACACTTTCATGGAATTGTTTTGTTTTCAATGAACGTGTTTGGCAACCATTTTTCAATTCCACTCACGATTTGGAATTGGGAAAAAATGGTCTCATCTGTTTCAATTTGGCCAATGTCATGTATAACATATCATAACACAAAAAACAGCTCAAACGCCTAAGACGCGAAGAATAATATTAAGTAAAACTACAGGTATTACTCAGATAGCATGTGGAGGTGGAGAGATGGTATGTCTGTACCATGGAATGCATCCTGTATACAAGTGTGGTTTAAATGTGAACTTACAGAAGTAAATAAACTCACCTTTGTTCACAGAAGAATGTTGACATATACCGGTCTCTCCAACTGACAGAACTTTTTCCAGACACAGCATATTTATGTGGTAAATATATGATGCAAGTCCAACTCAAAAAGAAATTATTTATAATTTCTGTACAGTCCAATGTTCAAAATCAAAAAATGCAAAAATCCGGTCGTAAATACTTTACAGTAAGTGTGTGTATTTCTGCATCTGGTAATCTTTTCACAAAAATATTGCAACAATGTAATGTTTAGTTGTGATGTAGCATTTTAAAGAGGGGATTTTGGATTTGACCACCAAGGTGTGTGTGTTGGTGCAGGGCATGAAAAATGATTTTATTTATAAAAAACAGTCAACCTGGATAAGAAAAATTACGATAAGGAGATTAATATGACTGCTGAAAAGACAAAATCAGAAGTGGAAATGAACATAGGCTATCAGTGTATCTTTACCCCCAAGGGAGTTAACCCTGGAAAACTATTGAGATTCCTTCCATTAAATCCATTTTGTTTCAGTGAAAAGACACTAGCTAGGTCATGCATTTAAACCATATAATCAGCATACTGGGTTTAAAAACAGTTAATGCAAACTTTTGCGCATCATTCTATATTATGCATAAAATAAAAATAAACATATCCTGTGGTAAGAGTAGGTACCAATATTCTAAGGACAATAATAGGCCCAGCTCAGATGTTGAGGATATTGATTCCTCCATCTTAATGTAAAACTTTATAACTTTGCTACATGCTCAAATTGACATTGTTTATTCACACGTTGCTTCAATAAAGAACAACAGAAGTAGAATGTTTTATTTCTTTCAACAGAAAAAATACTATATGTAATTTTAATTCTTTTTTTATTTCATGTCTAAGGCAAGTTTTGCAGTAACAACTGTGTTCTTATTGCATACAGCCAGGTGAGTCTAACAGTGAGAGCTATTATTTCTTGTTAACAGCATAATGTCAGTAAAATAAGTCTCTGGGGCAGTGTGGCCAAAAAAAGGCCTTGAGGGATATCTACACAGACTGTATCAAGTGGTAAAAGCTCACACAAAAATATTGTTGCACTCTTTGTGACTTAATCTTCTAACACATGGAAACTAGTTGATTCCAGGCATGCTTACCAAGGACAGAGGAACATTCCCCACCCCTCTCTTTAAAATTTCCTGGCTTCTCTTCCAGGTCTCACATGTTGGGACAAACATCTTTGGCAGCTGTTGAAGCCCCTCCATAAGGAGCCTTTAGACATTTGAGATGTCATTCAACTTCCAGTTATAGGGAGATGATAAAAAAATTCTCATGTTCCTAAAAAGGAGGTAGAGCACCATTGTAGTGGGTTGTAATCTACTGTTAGGGAGGCAGAGCACCACAATAGTAGGTTGCACCCTCTTTTGAAGGAGGTTGAGCACCGTAACCATGGTTTATGCCCTTCCTTTATGGAGGTTTATTATCACATCTGTGGGTTACTCCCACCCATCAGGGAGGTAGAGCACCACAATACATTTTTCTGATGAACGGATGAAGAAGAGGAGGTCTGGTCCTTTGAATAGGCAGTAAATGAGGTTTGCCATTTATTACCCGTGAAGTTGTACAACAAACTATCAGGTACAATGTCTAAATAAATTCTTTCTAGTTTAGAAGAGATCTCCTTGGTACTTACTCAAACAAACCTCTTTCGTCTCCCACATACATCCATGATTGAACATATTGTTTGACAACGTAGAAGGTGGTCTGTTCCTTCCTCAGTGTTAAGACCCCTTATTTCTTCTTCCCCAAAGTGGTCTGTCAAACCTTCTTTAGATGATGATGCATCCAAAGTGGGTATTTGTATGGGTACCTGGGCAAGCCTTCCCATCAAAACATTTGATACCATGGAGCAGAAAACCTGGTTACTTTACATGCAAACCTATTCTCAGATACAGTACTTCCTTAAATATGATGAGAGAGACCTCCTTGAATCCAGTCACATTACAAAGCTGTGGCCAAGACATCTTAGCAAGCACTCTGTTGCCATGGCATTATCAGCAGAATTTTTTTCTCATAAGGTCCAAGAGAATGTTCTCTAACCCTCCTTCCATTTCTACCACAGAAAATGGGGGAAACCATAGAAAAGTAACCCCTCTCCTGTCATTCATCCCATTCTGAACTCACCTAAGCCTCTACTCCAGGTTTTTTTAGAGCATCACAGACTATGGATGGGTCCTCTCCATTTCAAATGAGGGTTATCAACTCCAGTTTTGGGAACAACCCTGACTATTAAGGACCCCAATTTCCTTTCCACAGTCCAATCTAGTGAAATTAAAGTGAGAGTTGCACTGTGTGATCCTTTTTCAGAAAGGGGCAATCAAGAGGGACTTAAACAATTAGTCACACTCATCTATTCCTGAATCTTCCTGGTCACAAAGTGGGAAATTTCAAATTACAATTGATCTCTCCACACTCAACCAGTTTCATTCAGAGGAAACCTTAGAGATGGAGACAACTTGATCAATCTGGAACAGATCAGAGATGATGGGTAATTGATGAATTCATCTACCAGTGGGATAATTATATGCCTTCCCACCTTTCTGACTGCTGCCACAAATTCTGCAAAGAGTACAAACTTCCACTGCTTGAATCATTCTCATGGCTCCATTCTGGCCCCAATGACC